GTTATAAATGGTATCAGAGTTAGGTTTTGAGGCAACATGCTAGTAAAGACGCTGGTCGGATGGATTGCGAAGTCTGACATGATCGTGAAGAAGTAGCCATTGTTGAATAAGAAAGTCAAGATTTGGAGAGCGGCAAAAACGTGTACAGATCTGGGTCACGCTTTACGCACACAGCTGTATTTTATTGTTTAGTTCATACTGCCTTTATAAGAACGTTACCACTGCATTGATTTGCTGCATTCATCTTCTTCGTGTTCATTTTTTTGTTAATATTATTATTATTTTTTGTTTCTAGTCATAGCCATGGCCGATTCTCCATTGCTGGAATGGGTCGAGAATCGCAGGGAGACGACATGGGATGCTTTCTTTACGGAGGCGAAGACTGTTGGGCTCTTAGCGGCGCCATTGGCTGCTATCAATCTGTCTCAGTTCTTGATACAGACTGGTTCTTTGATGATTGTAGGTCATATCGATGAACTCGCTCTCTCAAGCACCGCCATAGCCATCTCTTTAGCTGCTGTTACAGGATTCAGTGTGCTTGTAAGTTCCTCTCCTTTCTCATCAATGTAGTTGATATGTATTCTAGGGTTCAATGTTCTGAAGTACTTTTCTGTAGATCTGTAATCTTCAAACTATTGCTTACTCCATTTCAATGATTAAGATTACTTCCGTGAATCCTCTGAAATCAATTGGTTTGCTAAGTTATCCTCTGAATTCGTTCTTAGAAGCCTGATTGTGATGTTCTTTAAACTAAACTTGCAGATAGGCATGGCTAGTGCACTTGAAACACTGTGTGGGCAAGCTTATGGGGCAGGACAGTATCAAAAATTTGGAAATCATGTTTACACTGCTATATTGTGTCTGCTGTTTGTTTGCCTCCCTATAACTCTGTTATGGATCAACATTGGGAAGCTACTTGTTTTGATTGGGCAGGATCCTTTGATATCACGTGAAGTTGGGAAGTTCATGATTTGGCTTATTCCTGCGCTCTTCGCTTACGCATTTCTACATCCACTTATGAGATATTATCAGATGCAAGTTTTTGTTCTTCCCATGCTCATATTTAGTTGGATTACCTTTTGTTTGCACATACCTCTCTGTTGGGTTTTGGTGTATAAAACTGGACTCAAGAACCTTGGTGGAGCCTTGGCCATGAATATTTCATATTGGTTCAATGTGATTCTTCTTGCTTTATATATGAAATTTTCCCCCAAGTGTGAAAAAACTCGCGGTGTTGTTTCTATGGAGCTGTTTAAAGGAATTGGTGTCTTCCTTCACTTCGCTATCCCTTCTGCTGTCATGACTTGGTAATCTACTTTCACTTTCTTTGTGTTCTTATCTGAAATAATCGATGAGGGGTTTTTGATTTGAGTTTAATGGTGGTGATTGCAGCCTTAGTTGGTGGTCATTTGAGCTGATTATCTTATTGGCTGGGTTTCTGCCTAATCCAGAGCTGGAGTCTTCAGTTCTATCTGTTTGGTAATCTTCAAAATCCTCCCTCAATCGAAAATAAAAACGAGTTTCTTTTGAATCAAATGGAAAATGATTGAAATATGACATTTATGAACAGCTTCAATACCATGACAACAATATTTACACTAGCTTATGGAATCGGCAGTTCTGGCAGGTATGCATCAAGACATACATACCTTTGCAGATTTTCTTGTTTTCATGAATGAATCAGTCATTTTGAAAGGATTGCTTTTGTTCTTGGTGCTGCAGTACTAGAGTTTCAAATGAATTAGGAGCTGGGAAGCCGCAAGCTGCTCGTGTAGCTGCTGGAGCATCGATATTTCTTGCAGTTGTGTCGATCATCATAGTGAGCATGGTTCTGTTCGCGCTTCGTCATGTTTTTGGTTATGCCTTCAGCAGCGATAGAGAAGTTGTGGATTATGTTGCTGTCATGGCTCCCTTAGTTTGTCTATCAATCATTTTTGATGCCATTCAAGGGGTCGTTTCTGGTAGTTAAAACAAAACTTGTGTGTTTAATGTCAATAAGCCTTGGCTTTCTTGGCACGGTTAGTTGATCTGTTTTATTATTGTTGAAACAGGCATTATAAGAGGATGTGGTTGGCAGCGTGTTGGGGCTTATATAAACTTAGGGGCTTATTATCTCTGTGGAAATCCAGCTGCTTTGGCTCTTGGTTTCTTGGCAAATCTGAGAGGGGGGGGCCTGTGGATCGGCATCCAAAGCGGCGCTTTCGTGCAGATGCTTCTACTCGCGATCGTCATGAGGCGTGTAAATTGGGAAAAACAGGTCCAAATCTTCAGCCTCTCCTGAATCTTCTTCCATTTCATGTGTTTTCTTGTTTGATGAAAAGCTGAGAAACATACATTTGTTGATGGTTTTAGTTCGAACATAGTATGAACCAAATGAACATTGTTTTGTGCTGTGATGTCACAGGCAGATGAAGCAAGGGAGAGGATGTTTGAAGACAAAGGGCTTGGAAATAAATATGAGGCGCCAAGTGCTTGAAATGCTGATTCTGTGTTCTGTGCTACATGAGATATTAGAAGAATATTTGATGCAAAGATCCACACCCATTGGGTACTTAACTTTGATTTGAAGCCATTGGAGCCAGCACTGCTTCGGTCCAGCTCTTAATTGTTGTGTGCATGTTTGAGAGTGGTCTTATAAATGTGTAGTGGTCTCGCTCAATTTTGATGCTTTTAAGGTTTACCTAACCATGTATGGATTTGTCAATTTGGGTAAAAACGTGAATAAATATAGAGTAATTATCATCTCAAAAATTCTACTTACTCCTTAATTATTAATATGTTTAATTTACTTTACTGTTTATAATTATGATGACATGATATTACTAATAAAAGTCAAAATACTGCAACTAACCCAGTTGAAAAATATGTCTTGTTTGATAATTATTTGTTTTTTATTAATAAAATATTTTATTTATTTTTTTGGACACTATTTTTCTAGAGACCTTTTGCTTTGTCTTTTTTAGGCTCCCTGTCATTTTTGTTTGCTTACCTCGCTCTTGCCTCAGAGACTCTTCTTTTCTTTTTTTTTAAGGTTCTTTTAGAGCTAAAACGATCAATTTTGCATTTGTCAATAAATTGGATCTGCACCGATTTGATCAATAATAAAATTTTTGTCTAGAAAAAAAACTGTTTGACACGAATGCCATGCGCAACTAACTCGGTTTAGCATACTCACTTAGTAGATGACGAAAGTTTTAATAGATTGTTCTATCATCACCCTTTTTAATAAATTATTGGAATTCATAGTCAAATTTTAAAAATAGAAATAAAATTTAATATATATATTTATATTTTTTAAAATTCTGAGTTAAATGATTTCGATTTGTAATTTATATATTTGAATGGAATAAGAATAAAAATAGATGTTGGAAAATTGTATTTTATGGGGTTTCCAATCATTGGTCCGTGTTGAACGCAAGGGGACATCAAAGAGACAAGTGGCCTGACATTGCCATCAAATACAAATAAATCAGTGAGTAAAAAGTGTCCGCCTGACTTTAACTGAGATCCGCCGTTTCCTATTAATTGGATATGCTCTAAAGTCAAACACTATTATTTTAATTTATATATTTACAATTTCGGATCTTTAAATTTAGTTTTTATTCTTCCATCAAAATTTTAAATTAATTGTATTGATTGAAGTTAATGTTTACAGTTCAATAAAATAACACCATAATTTTTAATTAAAAAAATCATGTAATACTTTTTGAGAATTGGTGTAACTTCAATTTTAACGTCTTATTATCTACTAAATGTGGTTCTATTTGTACGACTGAACTGATATTGTTGCTCACTTGAAGAGTTATTTGAAGTATTGATTTAAAAAATTAAATAAATAAACTGAGTCTTGAAAGATGGACGGGAATCATGAACTTTGTGTATTTGTGATGCGGGTAGGGTTGATTGAATTTCTTAATAATATTTTTTTGTGTTATTTTCTTAATCTCGTTTGAAAATTCAAAATAAAATACATTAAATATTTTAATTTGAAAATAAAATATGTTTTAAAATATTAACAAATGTAACCAAGTTAGAGAAGCATACACATTTTAAAGTATTATTAATTAAATTAGATATACAAATGAAATAGATAATGACAATGTAATAATTCAACATTTTTAATTGAAGAAAATTATTTATGGAAAAATGGTTTGCCCAAAGTTTCAAATAGAAACTATGGGTTTGGATACGGCAACTCTGGGTTTGGAGAAGTATTTCATAAATTAATTAATAAAAATATTCTTAAAACTTTATTTCTTATTTTAAATTTTTTTAAAAATACTATTATCTATTAATTTTCGTACTCTTTTTATAAAGAATATAAAAACCATTTTTTTATTTTTATAAAAAATTAAAAAATATCCTTAAAAACACATTTAAAAAATATTTATAAATTTTCAAAAATAATATTGAAAAATTCTAAAAATAATATATTAAAAATAATTTTGGTCCAAAGAACATTTAAAACTACTTATTAACATTTTTTAGACAGAAATTAGAAGGTGAATACTATTAAAAATATGAAAATAATTTTAAAATAAACTACTAAATATTTTTATAAAAAATTAATAATAAGAGTATGTTTTTTTTAGATTTTATAAAAGTTCATAGATATTATTAATTTTTTTTAAATATTATAAATATGTTTGAGGCAAAATATAAATTGTTGGAGTGTCAAATTCAGCCTTTATTTTGTTATATTTTTTAAAGTTATCTATTTTCAAGTTTATTTAATATTTGAATATCTATTTCTCCATTTTAAATTTAACTTTTTATTTGTATATATATTTTTTAAAATCCAATCATTTCTATTTTCCGTGATTCTGTTAGGATTATTGGGAGAGAGTCACACGTTGATTAATTTAGTGGAAGATTATAAATTTATAAATGAAAGAATTATTGGGAGAGAGTCACACGTTAATTAATTTAGTGGAAGATTATGAGTTTACCAGGGAAAGAATGTTTTCTTCTATTATATTTTTTTACACTGTAAATTGCTCTTACCAACGGCATGGAGTTGCTTTGTGTGTGCTTATAATGCTCTCTCATTGCTCCGTATATGGCGAAGAAGATTATTAAGTGGAATAGTTTTCACTTTTAATCATATTTTAAAGGGAGAGAGGATGAATCAGGAGCAAGATGTCAGTCTTTAATGGCACCCTAAACGTGTCCTGATTGTGTTACGTTTTGTATACACCTGTATTTTACTCTTTCTCGCCTTTAAAACTACATTGATTTCTGTAATTTTCTTCTTAAGTGTTCCATTTGTTTTTGTTTCTAACTTCAGCCATGGCCGATTTCCCATTGCTTGAATGGGTCGAGAATCGCCGGGAGACAACATGGGCTGCTTTCTTCGCGGAGGCGAAGACTGTTGGGTTCTTAGCGGTTCCATTGGTTGCCATTAATCTTTCTCAGTTCTTGATACAGACTGGTTCTTTGATGGTTGTGGGTCATCTCGATCAACTCGCTCTCTCCAGCACTGCCATAGCCGTTTCTTTAGCTGCTGTTTCAGGGTTCAGTGTGCTTGTAAGTTCCTCCCCTTTCTCATCAATGTATGTATTGGATACGTTTGGAAGTTTATATGTAGGATGTGGGTTTGATTTGTTTATAGTATTGTGGAGAGTTGTGGAGAGTTGTGGAGAGTTTATGCTCTAAGTGGACAATATCATACTATTGTGGAGAGTTGTGATTCCTGCCCTTAACTTAGCCATGTCAACGTGGAGAACTATGCCCTTAACTTAGCCATGTCAATAGAATCATCAAGTGTCGAATAAGAAGTTGTGAGCCTCGAAGACATGGTCAAAAGTGACTCAAGTGTCGAACAAAAGGTGTACTTTGTTCGAGGGATCTAGAGAAAGGAGTTGAGCCTCAATTAAGGGGAGGCTAGGCCTCAGGGAGACTCCATGGTGTACTTTGTTCGAGGGGAGGATTGTTGAAGATTGTTGGGAGGGAGTCCTAGAATTAAGGGGATGATCGTGGGTTTATAAGCAAGGAACACTATTGCCATTGGTATGAGGTATTTTGAGAAAACCAAAAGCAAAATCATAAGAGCTTATACTCAAAGTGGACAATATTATACTATTATGGAGAATCGTGATTTCTAACTTGCTACTCACTATACGGAGCGCGATAATTGATATATACTCATTTTCTTAAAATCGGAGTTCACATACCAATTTTTTGTACAGTTTGGTGTTGCAATCAATTGGTTTGCCTTTCATGAGAAACGATGAATCTGTAGTCTATTTGGAATTCGTTCTTAGAAGCCTGATTGTGATGTTCTTTAAACTAAACTTGCAGATAGGCATGGCTAGTGCTCTTGAAACTCTATGTGGGCAAGCTTATGGGGCAGGACAATATCAAAAATTTGGGAATCATGTTTTCACTGCTATATTGTGTTTGCTAGTAGTTTGCCTCCCTATAACTCTGTTGTGGATCAACATTGGGAAGCTACTTGTTTTGGTTGGGCAGGATCCTTTGATATCACGTGAAGTTGGGAAGTTCATGATTTGGCTTATTCCTGGGCTCATTGCTTTTGCATTTCTGCACCCACTTATGAGATATTATCAGATGCAAGTTTTTGTGCTTCCCATGCTCATGTTTAGTTGGATCACCCTTTGTTTGCACATACCCCTCTGTTGGGTTTTGGTGTTTAAAACTGGACTCAAAAACCTTGGTGGAGCTTTAGCCATAAGTATTTCATATTGTTTGAATGTGATTCTTCTTGCTTTATATATGAAATTTTCCCCCAAGTGTGAAAAAACTCGCGGTGTTGTGTCTATGGAGCTGTTCAAAGGAATTGGACTCTTCCTTCACTTCGCTGTCCCTTCTGCAGTCATGACTTGGTAATCTACTTTCACTTTCTTCGTGTTCATCATCTCGAATAATCAGTATGGGGTTCTTGGTTTGATTTTAATGGTGTTGATTGCAGCCTTAGTTGGTGGTCATTTGAGCTGATTATTTTATTGTCTGGGCTTCTACCAAATCCAGAGCTAGAGTCTTCAGTTCTATCTGTTTGGTAATTTTCAATTACCCCCAATTGAAAAAAAAGAGTTATTAAATGGAAAATGATTGAAATATGACTTGTATGAACAGCTTCAATACATTGACAACAGTATTTACAGTACCATATGGAATTGGCAGTGCAGGCAGGTATGCATTAAGACATCCTTTGCAAATTTTCTAGTTGTCATGAATAAATCAGTCGTTTTGAATGGATTGCTTTTGTTCTTGTAATTGGTTCTGCAGTACCAGAGTTTCAAATGAACTAGGAGCTGGGAAGCCGCAAGCTGCTCGTGTAGCTGCCTGGGCTGCAATATTTCTTGCAGTTGTGGCAATCATCATAGTGAGCGTGGTCCTGTTTGCTCTTCGTCATGTTTTCGGTTATGCTTTCAGCAACGAAAAAGAAGTTGTGGATTATGTTGCTGTCATGGCTCCCCTAGTTTGTATATCAATCGTTTTGGATGCCATTCAAGGGGTCCTTTCTGGTAGAGCTTCCGCATAATTTCCTTCGGTGGCGTTTAATGTCGCACGGCTAGTTGATCTGTTTTATTATTTGTTGAAACAGGCATTATAAGAGGATGTGGCTGGCAGCGCGTTGGGGCTTATATAAACTTAGGGGCTTATTATCTCTGTGGAAATCCAGCTGCTTTAGCTCTTGGTTTCTTGGCAAATCTGAAAGGGAGGGGCCTGTGGATCGGCATCCAAAGCGGCGCTTTCGTGCAGATGCTTCTACTCGCGATCGTCATGGGCCGTGTAAATTGGGAAAAACAGGTCCAAATCTTCAGCCTCTCTTGAATTATATCCCATTTCATTTGTTTTCTTGTTTGATGAAAAGCTGAGAAACACACATTTGTTGATGGTTTTAGTTCTAAGAAACGTCTTCTCATGTGAATATAGTATGAATCTCCGATACAAAAATGAAGTTTTAAACTCCCATGTTGGTCAAAAGACAGGAAAACAGTGAAATAATGGCAAATTCTATTGTGCTGATGTGGTGGGAATCTGTTCCTGTCGTGTTACAGGCAGATGAAGCTAGGGAAAGGATCTTTGAAGGAAAAGGGTTAGTGAATAATGAGGAGCAAGGTGGTTGATCGGTGATTCTGTCTTCTGTGCTAACTTGTGATCAGCAGTTAAAAGTTGAGATGTTGGAAGAGAAACTTGTTGCACTTCGGGTACTTTTGTTTTACCTCGAGTTATTATGTCGTGCTGTTTTATTTAACCTAGAGTTTTAAAGCCTCAAATTATTGTTTCGTGCTATTTTGTTTAACCTAACCTAGAGTTCTAAAGCTTCAAATTATTGTGTCGTGTTGTTTTGTTTAACCTGGAGTTCTGAAGCCTCAAGTTATTGTGTCGTGCCGTTCTGTTTAACCTGGAGTTCTGAAGCCTCGAGTTATTGTGTCGTGCTGTTTTGTTTAACTTGGAGTTCTGAAGCCTCGAGTTATTATGTCATGTTGTTTTGTTTAACTTGGCGTTCTGAAGCCTCAAGTTATTCTGTCGTGTTGTTTTGTTTAATCTGGAGTTTCGAAGTTTAGAGTTATTATGTTGTGCCGTTTTGTTTAACTTAGAGTTATGAAACCTCGCTTTATTATGTCGTGTTGTTTTGTATAACCTGGAGTTCTGAAGCCTCGAGTTATTATGTCGTGTTGTTTTGTTTAACCTGGAGTTATGAAGCTTTGAGTTATTATGTCGTGTTATTTTGTTTAACCTAGAGTTTTGAAGTCTCGAGTTATTGTGTTATTTTTTCACTATAATAGTGTAATACAATACAATGTTTTAGAAATTAATTTATACTATTCTATGAATATTTTACTAACATTTATGTTTCTAAGTACCAATTTTGAGTTTATTAATAATACGTTAAGCTACTTTCCATTTAATCATCTTGAAATGTGAATTTTAATTTGTAAATATGAAATTAATGCAAAAAAAAAAAAAAAAAAAAATTGAGGTAATTTTTATTAATATTGTTATAATTTAATTTTGTTTTAAATTATTTTATGCAAGTTTGACATGAAATAGGGAAAAAACAAAAATCGATGATTTTTTTATAATTTGGAAGGAAAGAAAGATAAAATAATAAATAATAATAATAAAATAAAAAGGAGTGGGATTTGGGATGGGTTGAAGAGATGCGAGAGCGACGTCGTTTTATTCTCTATATAAAGTGTAAACCCCAGCAAACAATTACGGCTTGCTCAGGCCATCGGAACACGATTCTCAATACTGCCGTCACTCAGAATCAACCAAGTGCACCCCATTCTCAGAGGGATTCGCTCGCCGACTGTGATGGGGAAACCGGATAAAGAGCGCCTCCTTCGAACTCTCAACTCGCATCTGAACACCATCCATGAAACTTTTCAGGTTTGATTTTCAGACAAGCTTCTGTTTGTAAAATTGCATTTCAATGTATACTCAGCCTTCCGATATGATTTCACTTTTCATCTTTTCACTTGTAGATGTTGGATCAAAATCCATCGTCTTCCCTTGAAAAGGTGAGCTGGGAGGATGTTCTGAAAATGAGCGACCAAGTCTACAAGCAGGCGACTGTCGGTATGATTTCGCTTCGTTTATCATTATTCTTAGTGTTTCTATGGTTTTTCTTCAACTTTTGGGGTGGGAGGATCGAATTTACGTGTGCATTGTCTTGTAAATTGTGATTGCGTTTCTGCAGGCATCTCTGTTTTTGATGTTTTGATTTGAAATTGTGCTTTACGTTTTAAGTTCTAAGAATCTCCCAAACGATTAGATATTTGTGGATTGCATTTATGTCCCTAAAATTTGATTTCTCGTAGTTGATGAGTAATGGCACGAATTTGATTGGTTGTATATTTTGTTTGCCCTGTAGCTGGAATGGTGTGGACTGGAGGAAGACTAGAAGTTACAGAAATTGAGGAAAACATGGCATCTTACTTCAATATGCTGCAGGGTTTCCTCCTGGTTTCCCATGGGAGTAAAGTGGGTGCTGGCCCTACTTTATCTTCTGTTATCCATGCATCTGTGAAGCAAGTAATTGATTCAAGTTCTAAGTTATGGAAGGAATCCATCTCTTTATATGGTAAATGAATATTCCTCTTCTTTCTATCGTAAATTTCAGGCCAAATTTTCTTCATGATGTATACGTTCACAACTATTCTCTACAGTCATAAACCCGAGTAGCTTGGACTATTCTCTACAGGAAAAGTTTTGAAGAATAAGTTTATTGTTTGCTGTTCCTTTTTCTGCGTCGGGACCTCTTTGATATATGATCTAGATCTTGTTGTACATTGATTTTTTTGTTTGATTCATCATTTTCTAGTGTCTACTTGTGTCATTTTTTATGTTCAAATGGCTCTGGATGTCGTTTCGATTGAACCGAACAAGTAGTGACCAAGAATTTTGACTTCATATATTTTGTATAATGTTGCAAATATAATGCATTGATTCAAGAAATCTGACGCTGAATTATGGGAGATGATGGTTTATTTGAACTCCCATGATATCAGTTGGAGACTTGGAGTAACCTTGGGTTCATGTTAAACTAGACTATCTATTACAGTATCATGGAGTTAAGTTTCCATCATAGAGCACTGATGATAGGGTTAAATTCATTTATTCGTTGTTGTGAATTCATGTTTGCAATTCTGTTCTTCTCTTTTGATAGAACTAGTGTTAACCTTGGTGAATGAACTTTTCAGGACCTCGGGATAGTAAGGATCAAAACCAAGTAGTTCCGCAGTTGGTTGGTGCAGTTTGAGAAGCTTGCTCTGCTCTTAAGAAAGCTCCTTCCACAAATGTAACTGCAATTGGCCGAGCCATAATGCAGGTTGCTGTATCAGTGAAGGACGTCCTCCGAGAAATGAAGGAGCTTAAACAAGGTCCCTCCGACTTGGACGACGCCCCCAGAGAATCATCTAACAAAGTTGAAAGCAGTTTGCACTCGCAGGATGAGGGTAATACAAGCGATGATGCCGATATAGGTAACGATTTATCAGCCGAAGAGATGAGAGTTGCTCAATCTGCTATTAGCATCATATCTTCAATACTTCAAGTTATTAAGGAACTCATTCGCTCTATCACTAGTTTGCTTAAGCTGGAAAATGAAACCAACGAAAGTAACTTAGCAACCGTGGAGAATCTATTGAGGCTATGCCAAGGAATTGGAGTGCAGGTGGACGAGCTTGGAGCTTGTCTTTACCCCCCACAAGAGGTCCCTGCCATTAAAGAAGCTTCTGAGAAAATTTCTAGCTTTCTTGACAATATGCAGGCAGAGTTGGGAAGTCTTAATGGTAATTCGGAAGGCTTTCTTCAGGCATGCAACAATCTCCGAAATTCATTGAAGCAGCTCGAGATCGAACTAGGTGGCTTCACAGATTCTGATCTAGAAAGTAGAATGCAGAATGTAACGTTAAACGACTAAACGAGATTATCCATCTAATCTGATATATCTACAGCCTCGGATCCAGTTTTGTTACTATACTGTCTAGTTCTTGTCATGAAAGAAACAGATTTCTATTATTGTGTAATTCATAACCTAAAAAATTACCTATTTTTACAGTGACAGGCAGAGTAGTTTAGAAAGATTTCGTGGAACGTATATTCCCTTCTCTTAATTGGTGTTACAATTACACTACACCATAGAATTCCATGAATGTACAGAATTCTCACAGAGCTGAAAAACCAGGGTTGAATCTATCGCCCTGAGAGCTTGACCACCCAGGCACCCCCCAAGTAAAGACCCAGCAGGGGAGCTGCTAGAAGCACCTGAGTTAGGGGGTCTGTTGATGGTGTGAGTACAGCAGCTGCCACCACTGCACCAACAACAACGTATCTCCAAATCGATAACATTTGGTCTCCTGAGACCAGTCCAAGTTGTCCGAGTAGAATCTGGATTACTGGAACCTACACATAAGATGAAATGAACGCCGTCAAAAAGCTAGCTCCATAGGGCGAAATTACCATGAATGGTTTACGATTGTTCCTAAAGGAGAAAGAAAGAATCGGAATTTCTAGGGATTGGCTGGTGACCAGCATTCTAGTGTATGAACAACATTCCTAAGCAAAAAACTTTACCTGGAAAGACAAGCCTGTACTGAACATGAGCACGAGAACGAATTCGAAGTATTGATCTATGGACCACAAGGATTCAACAGCTCCTTCAGCATAACTAACAAAGAAATTTAGAGCTGCTGGTGTCAAAACTATGTAGGAGAAGGCAATTCCTGCATAAAAAAGCACAGAAGAGCCTAGGACGATAGGCCCAAGAAACCGTCTTTCTGCCCTTGTCAATCCTGGAAGAACAAACGCAATAATCTCATAGAGGATGACAGGACTTCCAAGAAGAAGGCCACAGTATCCTGATACCTGTAGCGCACAAGGAGAATTTTACTGTTATTGACCCCCATCAACAACATGCGCTAATATACAACTGCATATGGGAAGTGGAGAATGAATTTTGGAATTAAACACAAATCAGAAACAATATTTAACATTGGGAATGAAGAATGGGCACCAGGAATGGGCTGCATTTGAATAAAAGAACGAACTCAACCGAAGAACTACAATTGAAACATGCGCTATCTTAAGATTCGACACGACCCATCGCAGAGCACTTTCTCACTTCTGTAGCAAGATCAGTGCAAAATTCTCCTCCACAAGACTCTTAATATAAATACACACCAAAAAGATAGATACAGTAAGGAAAGTGTTTTAATTCAACATCGAGATACTAACAAATTAAAAGGGTAAGCAACGCCATAGCTTCATTACGTTCGCATATTCAGAATGCATCCTAGTGCACAATCATCATATAACTAAAAAGCTGATTTCAAATAACGATATACAGTGTACTTTTCTATGTTCTTAATATCTAATTAGATTCTTGTTGTTGTATCTAATTTTAGTATCAATGGCTACCCAAATGGATGGTCACCATGATTATACTAATAATGCAATTATATTTCATCATTCAAAGTTCTGACCTTCAATGTTGTAAAGAAAAACTCCCCAGGACCAAGCTGCAGGAACCTTACACCTTGTTCCTTAACTGGAGCTTCAAGAATTAAGACGAGTTCTTTCGAAAATGCAAAGCATCCAAGAATTGCAGCTCCCACCGCCAAAACTGATACAAATATCCTCTGACGTAGTTCTTCAAGATGATCAAACACGCTCATTTCTTTATCATCTGGAAGTAGATCTTTACTGGGATACAGAAAGTTATATACATCACTTTTTTCTGGAGCCCCATTTGTTGAGCTTTCGGCGATATCTATTTATTTTTCCATTTAAAAATGGGGTATTAGCAACTTGTATATCAATTATAGCATCAACTTTCTGAAGCCACATAATTCAATAGGTAGGAACAAATATGTGCAATGAACATTTAAATCTGAAACCATGAACAGTCCCAATAAGTTTTATCCCTCCTGGATAAAGGATTCACAGAAATCCATTTATGAACTTCTACCTTCAAATCCTGGACTCACGTAAGCTCAGCTAAATATCTAACCAGGACATGCTTCTCTATTAGACACAGGTAATTTCTAGGATTAATCCTATCACGTGCACAATCTAAACAAAATTAAGGACGAACTCTACATAATCCGATTGCTAATAAGGGAAAACCAAAGAAATAAGCAGTTTAACCATGTCACAAAAAGCTTCCAAAACGGTTCGGAATCGCAAACTATAACCAAGCACGATTTTCAGGCGAAAAGACCTTGATATCAATCATGGTTTTGGTAATATTAGTACCTGGCACATCCTCGACGACGGTGGAACGATTTCCACCACCCAAATCCGTCTGCTTCTCTCTTACATCGTCATCGACAGCAGAACACACAAATCTGTTGAAATTTCTACGGCTGAGCAAACTGGAGAACCGCAACTTCGACCTTCTCGATGTTGGGCCAATTCGAGCTGAAGCAAGCTGAGAGTGAGAGGTTCTAGCAGAGAAACGGCAGTGACTGAGCTGCAAATGCGATGTCAGAGCACCGCTAATGCTTCCCATATCTTCTGTAGCTTTCTGAATCAAAATCGATGGGGGCTTTCAGCGTTATGCCGAAAAATCAGAACTCCTCCGAAAAATCTGAAAGTCATCAATTTTTGGACCTTACTTGAGGATGATAATATTTTGGGGGTGTGTGTACTTGCGTGCTTCCAAGGCCAGAGGCGTAACTTAGCATAAAACTTCATATCAAATCTAAAATAAGCTGTCAGCTCAAAATCGGCTCTCAATTTAGGCCCATTAGTTCTATCCGGCCTATAATTTAGGCCCATTAATCCTATCCGGCCTATATTTAGGCTCATTAATTCTATCCGGCCTATATTTAGGCCCATTAATTCTATCCGACCTATAATTTAGGCCCACTAATTCTATCCGGCCTATAATTTAGGCCCATTAATTATACGGCCCACGATAGCGACTTCAGTTTTACAATTTATAAACAAATTTGATCCTCCAATCCATTCATCAATCTACATCTTCGAAAATTTTCATTAAGATTTAATGGTATTTACGCAACCGGAACTAAATCATTATCTCCGAGCCTTGTGACGTAAGAGAACTATCCTGTGGCACATGTGTATGTCACAGTGTGGGTGAGCGTTCCGAAACAAATGTCTGCTTCTTTTAAAATGAATTTTTAAAAAACAGTACCCGACAATAGGGTGTGCCAGTATTGTGCCCCAACCATATGTTGGAGGTTGAATTGTGGACCCGCTATCTGGAACGTATGCCATAAATGATTTAAGAACTCGAATGGATGAATGTTCTAAATGTCCCATGAAATAATCAACACATGGACCAGTTCCCAACAAATGTGTTCGAGTAAGCCAGAATGAGTGAATATGGGACAATTTGATAGAACATGTTTTTAAACCTAATTTTTTTTAAGCAAGATTTCTTCTTTTGTAAATAAACAACTAATCAGAAATCAAATTAAAATTCAATAATCAAATATAAATTAATTCAAATTGCAAAAATGAAATTCGGTGTATTTTTTTTTTCTTTTTTTAGCAAAAATGAAAAATAAAAGAGAGAATTTTAGATGGAATTTAATTATTTACAGATTTAGCAAGCGTGTTATTGGGGTGAGATCTGAAAGCGAGGGCAGGGGAGGGCGAGGGTGGATGGTTGCGGCGTCTGAGTTGAGCCACGCCGTCATATTCAATATGTGTATGCAATTTGTTCTGGACCCCAACTCCCTACCTTCTCCTTCACCAAGATTTCTACTTGTTTAGGAGCGCCATTTCCACGCATGGTGTAGCTTCTCTACTCAATGACCCTCTGCTTCTGCGTTAGAGCTTCAAAGACCATAGCCGCCACAGCTGCTAAATACCCTTTCTCTTTCAAGGTACGCCTTCTTCTCCCCTTCTCTTCATTGCTCCATTCCTGCACTCTAAACAACTCCATAGCAACCCTATCGGAATCCCATTATAGAGACCTTATCTTCGACACTATTGAAGAAAAGCCTTGGGCCTTTTGCAACAATAACTGGGTCTCCGATCAATTTAGTGCCGTGATCATTGACCCTGACTTGTTTATTCGAGTCCTCAATTCCATTCGAATCCGGCCTAGAGTTGCCTTGCGTTTCTTCCGATGGGTCGAGGCGCAGCGCGATTTTAAGGGATCGGAATTTGTGTTCTGTGCTATTCTTGATATTCTTGCTCAGAATAATTTGATGGGTTCTGCGTATTGGGTGATGGAGAGGGTGGTTAGCATTGAAATGCACGGAGTTGTTGATGTTTTAATTGCTGGGCATTTGTGTTTAGAGGCTTCAATTAAGCTTCTTGATATTCTATTGTTGATATGCACGAAGAAATCAATGGTTGATGAATGCTTGTTGATTTTTGATAAAATGATTCGGAATGGTTTGCTGCCTGATGTCAAGAACTGTAATAGGATTCTCAGGGTTTTAAGAGATGAGAATCTCGTGAGTAAAGCTAAAACTGTTTATAGGATGATGGAACAGTTTGGGATTAAGCCAACGATTGTCACGTTTAATACTATGTTGGATTCCTTTTGCAAGGAGGGGCAAGTACATCAAGCTTTAGAGCTTCTGTCAGAGATGCAAAAGAGAGGGTGTTTCCCAAATGATGTAACCTACAACGTGTTGGTCAACGGGTTGTCGAAGAAAGGAAAGCTCGAACAAGCAAAGGAACTTATTGAAGAGATGTTGAATTCTGGACTCAACGTTTCAGCATACACATATAATCCTCTGATCAATGGTTTTTGCAAGAAAGGACTGTTTGTTGAAGCATTCGATCTCGTGGAAGAAATGATGAATAGAAGAGCTTTCCCTACCTTATCGACTTATAATACTCTCATGTACGGCCTTTGTAAGTGGGGGCAAGTGACAGATGCTAGACTCCAGTTTTCTGATATGTTTAAAAGCAACTTTATGCCAGACATCGTTTCGTTCAACATCCTACTGTATGGTTACTGTAGGTCTGGGAGTATAAGTGAGGCCTTTCTCTTGTTTGATGAATTGAAATGCAGAGATCTCGTTCCGACCGTGGTAACATATAATACTCTTATATATGGGCTTTGCAGGTTGGGTTACTTGGATGTTGCTGTAAGGTTGAAAAAGGAAATGATTGATCAAGGGTTATTCCCTGACATCTTTACATATACTATACTGGTTAATGGGTCTTGCAAGTTAGGGAATTTATCAATGGCCAGAGAGTTCTTTGATGAGATGTTGTGCAAGGGGTTGAAGCCTGATCGTTTTGCTTACATCACTCGAATAGTAGGAGAAATGAAACTCGGTGATACATCTGTGGCATATAGCATGCGAGAAGAAATGTTGGCCGAGGGTATCCCTCCAGATGTTGTCACATACAACGTTTTCGTACATGGACTTTGTGAACAGGGAAACCTTCAAGAGGCGTGTGATCTATTAGAGAATATGGTTCACAATGGTCTTGTTCCAGACCATGTGACGTATACTAGTATCATTAACGCTTTCATGAAAAACGGTCACTTGAGGAAGGCAAGAGAGATTTTCAATGAAATGCTCAGCAAGGGTTTAGCCCCTTCTGTAGTAACATATACAGTTCTCATTCATGCACATGCAGCTAAGGGAATGATGGATCTAGCATTTATGTACTTCTCGAAAATGCTCGAGAAGGGCGTTCCAGCAAACGTAATCACATACAATGCAATAATTAATGGGTTTTGCAAGGTGAGGAGATTGGACGAGGCTTATAAATATTTCGATGAGATGGAAGAAAAAGGAATTCTTCCAAATAAGTTTAGTTATACCATATTAATTAATGAGAACTGCAACATGGATTATTGGGAAGAAGCTCTAAGATTGTACAGAGAAATGCTAGATCGAGAAATTCAGCCTGATTCTTTTACGCACGGCGTGCTTCTGAAGAATCTACATACAGATTTTAAAGTCCATGCAATACAGTGTGTAGAGAGTTTGATTCAAAATGTTGAAGATAATGTAAATGGCAGGTGATGATGAAGGCAATAATGGATTCTCAAGTTAGAGACTGATGAATCCAGTGTACATTTATCCTATCTATTGATGGTTAACCTCTCAGAATTTCATTGAAACAATTAACCTCGAACAATTCATTTGGTAAGGTTTTTCTCCTCAAGCACTTGTATTTTCGCAACGTTCAATCCAAATCTTTTTGGTAAATTCTAGTTAGTAATCAATATTGTCTGGTTTACAGGATGTAATTGAAAGCTTTATGGATTGAGGATGCATTTCATTAGCCCCTTTTTGGTTCATTACTTTCTGCAACAGAGTTTACGCTGAAATCAGTGTTCGACAAAGACATTGTTCGTCCCACAAGATAGTTTATGAAGAGTTATCGTCACTGCATCAGGTATACATTTGATTTCAAACTGTATAAGTACCTTGGAGGGTAGGGGAAGGGAAGGGAGGTCATCAGCTTGTATCTTCTTGTGTTTGTTGATCTTTAGCTTGAGGAAATAATCGATTTTGTTTGATTAGCTTGGCTCTGTGAGGAAAAGGATAGATAGAAAGAAAGAAAAGAATGAATAATTATTTTCTGTCCTTAATGTTTAGTAATGGTTTATTTAGGCCTCCTTTAGTTACCACTTCATTTGTAGTTTTCTTCTTCTTTAAATAAAATATAGAACTTTTGGCCAAATTCATATAAAATATTAACAAAAAAAAAAAAGGCAACTAAGTTAGCCATATACCTTCTCTGTGCCACTTACCAACAAGAGTACTTTAAACTAATAAGGATGGGGTGTGAACCCTTTCTTGTCCGATGCACAGTGTTCTAGCAGTTGATTTGTTTTTCATTGTCATGGCTCATGGCTGCCTGAAGTGTTTTGTAAATGCTCTATTATTGTTCTGTGAACGTTTACTGAGTGGGTGGAACAGCTAAAAAGGTTAGCAATGTTTGATGAGATCTGTATCTCTTTGTAATCTGTTGACAAGAAACATTACTGTGTTTCTCATCTGTCTGATCTTGGCCAAGTTTTGTTCTTCCTTTCAATCTAATTGGCCTCACAGTTCATCAGAAGAATTTTGTATGTTTTCTTACCATTTCAAAAAAGCAAAACATATCTGTATGCCATTTTTGTCATTCTTGTGGCCAATTGATTGTCGATATGACTTTATATAGTCACTACTGACAGAAATGGTGAAGTTCTTGGACATGCTTGAATGGAAACAAGCTCCATTTCTGATGCCTGCATCGAACACTTAAACGGCCAGCTAATCACAGCATACAATTCAATGTACAACATAAATGGATAAGTGGATTGATAATATTCTTTCTTGTAGTCCTCTCTTTAAAATGTGGAAGGTTCTGTCCCCATTGTACAGATATGTATTCTATTTGAACAAGGTTAAGTAATGCATTTTAAAATTGGATAGTACCAAAGATGAAATAAGTATTCATGTTTAGATACTTTCCAAGAAAGAAAATCACCTTGATACTAAACCAGATTGAATTCGAAACCTTCTTGAAGTTGGAAAGATCTAGGATAGGCGGTTAACCTCGTTGAGAGAGTGATGTGCATGGAAGAGAGTGATGTGCATGGACCAAATGAATAGGGATGCAACTTTGTGGACTGCTTGTCGGGCCTGATAGGTAGTGGTATAGCACTTTTAGGAAGGCAATGCAATGGCAATGAATTAAATTTTATAAGAGTTGTGCACAATATAAAAATACATTCTTCCCTCAACCCCAAAAGAAAAATCTCCCGGTGACGACTTAGTAGCCTAATGGAAAGCCTGATGCTATCTACAAAATGCATTACAAATTTTACATTATGATGAATGGGAGTCCCATGAAATCAAAAGAATTATTTTCTGTTTTGTCCCTATGAAGAAATGAATACAAATTATTTCCACTTTTTGCTTGCAACTAATTGGTGAAGTTGCCAGCTCCAAACAAGCAGGAATAGTACAAGGCAAACTCCAACAGATATCCAGAACTGCACCAACCAAGATGGCATTGGTTTGGGATATAAACCTAAAATAAAGGAAACCTATTAGTTAGTATTTCATCAATAAGCAACAGGAACAAGTTTTTCAAGAGCAAGAGCCAAACCATGCCCAAACTTGATGCAAATTAGAAGCTCAACCACGCATATGGCCAGAGAGAGCCAACAAAATGCTCCAATTTTTTTCACCGGTTTCCTGGAATACAGAGTAATGTATTAAAAGATTCATAAATCCCAAACGAACAAACGAACACAGAGAGGACTGGAAACCTGTCTTGAAGGTAAACGTTGTACTCGCGAATGGTCGGTATGGCGATTAACCACCATAGAACCAACCTGTATACTATTACAGGGTTTCTAGGAGGAACCCAGAGACAGTACTTCAAAAAGAATGTGTTAAGCTCCACCGTCAGGAAGACGATGCAAAGAGAAAGAACTTGAATGAAACGCCATGGACCGAGTAAGGGATGCCATTCATCTTTATCCCATTGTGCTGGAGTGAACTGTCCCAAGGTCCGTTTCACCTGGATATAAGACTACTCACTATTAGATCCTAGTACAGTTACCACTGAAAGAGTCAAGATCACATATCAGAACAGCCAAGCAAGTTTCCCAGATAAACTTGCAAGTCAGCTCATGGTTGATGTTCCCATATTTGAAGTTTTCTTGGTAAACACTCAAGTTAATCATTAATCACAGTTGAGGACCTATGGTTAAGGATACGAATACTTGATTAATTTTATTTCTTGATAGAAAATTAATGCAAGGCTTACTTTTCCAATAATATTAGGCTGACGACTTAGACCAACCCATTTGTACGTTTTCCCATCGAAGTATCGGACCGTACGCATTCCTGCCCATATTCCTGCAAAACAAGTAATAGAAACGAAGGCCTTCAACTAAAACACAAACTAACAGAATTCGCACATCCGTTCTTTAACCTTATAGTCCAAAGTCACTGTACAATCATAGAATTTATGGAATTGAACTTTGCATGACAAAAAAGCTACAATGCAATGACTGGTTGGTCTCTACTTCCATAGATAATGAAACTTATACAACCATCATAGGTTGTTGACCTAGTGGTCAATAGAAGCGGAATGAGTTCAATCCATGGTGGTCACCTACCTAGGATTTAACAACCTACAAGCTTCCTTGACCCTACAAAGGCAGGTTTTCTGCGCTCAAACTCAATTGGGATAGTGACATTTCTTAACACCAAAGTAGAATCCACAAGGCCATCATGCTATTTTTATAACTTAGATTTTCATAATTAAAAACCATATCCATATCATAACTACATTATCCACATGAAACATAACATTTTTGTTTTGGATTGAGGAACTCACCAAACCAATTGCAAATTAAAATGTCAAGAATAATACTGTCCCACCAACATTCGTTGAAATTTGGTAGCATATGGCGGAAGGTAAGCTACACAATAAGAGAAAATTTAGAGTTAAATGGCCGACTTGAACAAGATATTGCACGAGTCAAAGAGAAAAAAAACATAAAACATAAAACATTAAAGGAAACAAAACGAAAAACAAACTTAATACATTATTTGGACTAGCAGGGATCGTTTTTTTAAAAATAAATCTTTCCAAAATTGTCTAATCATCATTCAATTTCAGTCATCGTATTACTTCGTACAATATTGAAAAATAGCTTGATTGAAAAATTTTATACCCTCTCTAGGTAAAGTTGAAACCGTTGCAACATTAGCGGTAACGTTAAGAAATGGCGATTACTTTTGGAACCAAATGATAGCAACATTGCAAGGATGGAAAATATATAGATATCGATGTCTAACCTCCATTAACTCGAACCCAATTGATAGTACCCATAGAAGGGGTTGATTACGGATCAAAATAGCCTTACCCCACCATCCAATTATGTGAGCAGGAACAAATTCATCAAACAATGTTGCCTGAGTGAGCGAACATAATCAGAAACATGTAGCGCCTTCAAATTATACTAACAAATAAAGTTAGTGGAAGCACACGACACAAAGCTACTGTAATTGGAAAAGAAGAAATCATACATAGACATTTTTAAACCTGCTTGTGGGGTTTTCAGGAACAAATATACGACAATCAGTCCCATATGATCTCTCAGGAAGCTCTAAATCAAGCATCAGAACAAAAAAAAAACAATTAGAACACGCACTTGAAAAGCAAATACTACAAGGCAAACGTCAGTGATCTAAAAGCATAAAGTTATTACCAAGGCCTAGATCAGGATGAAGAAATTTCATGAACTCTCGAGCATCGTCACGTTTCTGAAAATAACTTCACGGATTAGCAAATACAGACCGATGATATGGAAGCTTACACTATATTTTGAATGCCAAGTAGCATGAGAGCAGCTAAATGGTTTTATCAAGGAAGATGCAAAATATGAACAATCCAAGATTATATACAACTCAAAAGAGAGAACAAAGGTCAACCATCAAATATTAAAATCAAAGAACTTTGAAGATACGTATACTTAATTGATTGTGAACCCAGGATGAATTCCATAATAATAATAATAATCTAAAAAAAAAAAAAACTACCTGAAAAAGTAAAAATGTGAGTGCTACAAGATAAATGACAGCCAAGCCATGTACTAGGCGCCATACAGCTGGATGGGGTCTAATAAGAATCCTGCAAGGTAAATATTGTAAACCTGGGTAAAATAATCATATAATGATGAAATATTTTCAGACTTATGCCATCAAAATTCAACCCCAAAAAGGACTGTCATGTAACGTACAATTCAAGTTAGGAAAAAGAAAATAAATGGACAATAATGTTTGAATTAGAAACAAGAACTCTTCAAACAAGGGCAGATGGTTCAATTGATTAGAAGAATCAAATAGCAAAAGATAGCAACTGCATTCATCTTAAAATGAAAACATCTTATAATGATGAGTCACATCATGGTGTTAAATCACTAGTCATTCGAACAACCATATCGATCGGGTCTCTACAAATGAATACTCTATCGGAAGATTCAAACCACGAAACAACTATAAGCAAACTACAATTTGCAAAATTGAAACAATAACTTACGTAGAAGGAGCTTGAAGCAAGCAATATGCGAGGAATACAGCGATCATTGCCCACACACCCCTACAAGCATGAACTAAAGCTTATCGAGAGGAAAAGACAACTACTTGATCTTGAAGGAGAAATATTTATGGTTCGGAAGCAGACCTTTTAACAGATGTAACAAGATCACTTGATGCAGTGCATTCAGGATCTAGAGCTCCACTGGCCCAGCTGACAAACACATCCGGACAACAAAATAAATTCATGATTGCAAATAGCTCATGCAAAAGCATTCGCTGAAAAGACAAACAAAAGTACTTCATTCAAATTTTGAAAAAATAACTGAAGGCTGCAATATTATCCAAGACTGAATATTACCATGCACTAGGAAATAGAGTCTCTAATGCCCTCCCTTTATTCTTCCTATCCAATGTGTTAGAATCCAACCCAAAACTATAAATGTCGAAGACCATGGTGCTGAAAGTGATGAAGAGGATAGGTAATAGAAAAAATAAGACCAAAAAACTTTAGTGAAAGTTATTATTCGGTTCCGAACAATGACAACAAAACGTGAACTTCCATCTTTTAGAAATACTAAGATAT